ACCGGGTATGCTAATCGAGAGAAGACCGAGCAGACGCATTTCGAAATTGATTAGAAACTTTACTTAACTTAAGCGGCTTTCCCACAAATAAATATGGATTTTCTGTATGCTCTTCTCTTTTTACGTCGTTTCGAAGAGAAAAATAAACCGCACGGAATGACTCAACAGATGGCATCGCGAATCCCAACGAATTCCTTCCAACCAACAACAATGTATCTCACGAGAGACACGGCGCATTTCAAATTGTGCTGAAACGCTTCGCAGGAAACGCGAAACTGACCCGGTTTTCCGGTCGGAAATGTATTTTCAGGCGCATGCGAGCGCGGACTTCTTCATCGACTCCTCCTCGGTGTTTTACTGCGAAGCTGTAAAGCTATAAATGGGACCGAATGTTGTGACCGTATAAACTGGAACGGCCTGAAAAAACCGCCACCCGTTTTGCCTCTCGAATGGCCATCATCTTCCAGATGTGCAAAAGCCATGTCGCTTCAGTTTTCCAAAATAAACAGCGCCGTTAATGTCAGACCATTTTGAGATGATCCGGCGGCTCACCATAAAACTCCGATGTTATCGGTCCTTACGTCGACCCGAAGAATGCAATCTATTAATTATAAAAGTCCGCAGCAATCGCGTCCTGTTATCTAACTTAATTGGTGTTCGCCTTAATTGTGTCGCCAAGGATTCCACGAGTTTTTTTAACGTGTCTTACAAAACGCTCTGCCAAGTTAGGACTGAATGGCTTACGCGAACTAAGTGAGTCTTTATCCACGTTTGGTGTCTATCCGACTTCATCATGGTACGGCAAAAAACTAATGCAATTCAGCATACAGCTTCTTCGATGTTATAGCAAACAACGAATACGAGAATCAATGAAAAACAATCGAATATCATTGCTTTCTTAGTTAATTAGCACGTGATACTTACCATAAAGTTACTTACAACAATCAAATACAATGGTTGACCTTGGTTTCATACAAAGTAACTTAACAAGTAACTTTCCAAGTATCACGCATAGTAAATAATTTAAATAGTCCCCTTGACAATTGCAGTAATCGAATAAATCTATGATAAATATTATGATTATAACATTATTTTAAAAAACGAAATATAATATAAAATAATAATAGTATCCATATAGCAAAGCAGATTACATTTTTCTCGATCACGAGATGGCGCTATAAAATGATTTGTTTATATAATGGTATAGAATTTGTAAAATGTAAATTTTACTATGGCATTATTGAAATTGCATGCAGTTTATGGTCTATCATCGAATGAAATACTAACTGACTAATTTTAAACATTACATTTACAAAAATTGCGTTTTTTCTATCAATCTTCTTACAGAGATAATTTTTAGCTAAACAGATTGTTCACAACAATAATATATAAAATAAAATTGTTACAAATAAAGTATGCTAATAAATGCATACATTTTATAAAATTACAAGAATGCACGACATAATAATCAGTCATAAAAACAAAAGCTACTGCGAATTGTGATGAGTGAACCCATTGTTTCTGTCCTAATGAGTCTGCGTCGACACCGTAAACAAATTAACAGCGGACGTTTTCACTTGTTCCCATTCGAATTAAGTCCGATACATGGAATTTAATTAGTTGTTTGCGGGGGCGGCGGCGCGCCCGTTCTTCTTCCATTTATTCGATTCTCTCCGCATGTTCACTTTAATGGTCTCATCTCTCATTAACCGCGAGCCTTTAATTAACTTATCCAATCTCCACTTACGGAAACGGCACGGCAACATGAGTTTCATCTCTCCACCAAGTTTTATGTTTAATTAACATTTTCTCTTCTTCTTCTTTCGGTTTGCACGATTTCGTTTAGGGAACGACATCTTCTTCCAATTAGGATCGTTTGATGACGTAGAGCCGCCTCTGCAACTACCCCTCATTTGCAGTAACAAAAACGTAAATCATGTGTTTCACCACCCTCCGTAATTCAATACGATGCAGTAGCTCAAAAACGTTTTTTTTTTTTATAAATCTGAAGAATGTCTGTTTTCGGATTTATGTCGTTATTTTTAATTAGCATGTGATTTAACTTAATTTTTAAACTCTTTAAAGAGAAAAAAATGCCCACGAAAATAAACTCTCTAAAATAGACACAGCACAAAATCTAACCAGAAACTTTGAATTATACTTAAAAAACAAAATATTCAATTCCATATTGTATCATAGGAAAGAGATATTATAAATACATCCAGATTTGCACAAATTGCACAAGTGCAATAAAAAAGTACAACTATCACGGTAGAGGTTGCTGAGAAAAACTTATACATCAAAATTGTAACTTTTTGAATGTAAAACCGTGTAAATCAAAAAATATGCAAAAAAAAACGAATAATTTCGTTGTTTATTAATTATTGTTTTTTTTTAATTATGGTACATAAATCAAACAAAAATATTGGAAGGCAAATAAATTGATCCGTTCGATCATAGCCACTTTATTTTCAAAATTTATTTAGTAATTTAATTTTTTAACCATGTAAAAGCAAAAACGTGTAAAAAAGTACCGTGTAAAACGAGGTGTATTATGAAAATGTTATACAGTTGTTAATGTAAACTTTTAGTATTTTACGAATTACTAAATACGAGAACTGTATGTGTTTAATAGATTTTACTCTGAAATAGTTGTATAATGCGAATAACAAACGAACGTTGAAACCAATCAAACAACGTTTTGTTATTTATTTTTAAAACTGGTAGAAGAAAACAGCAGCAACATTAAAAATGTCAGCGCGCCGTTCTACTCCGATAATTACGTGCAATAATGATGATGATGATAATACTAATAATAATACCGATATGTTTGAACAATGTTTGGTTTTCGGGCTGACAGTTTATATTTACACGCCCATCTGCCACGTCTCCAGTTTCGAACCTCCCGGTTTCCTACAGTATATCGAACTCCCTCCAACATATTCTCTGAACCAGAAGGAAAGAGCGAGATACCCTCCAAAGTCAATATTTGACAGATCCCACCTAACGTAACCGCGCATCGACAATAAACATTGTAGTACTCGCTCATCTCTCCCGTCCGTATTTTTAAATCCGTCTGTTTATTTTACCGCCCACGCTCGCCGCCTCCAAAAAAAATCCCTCCCCGACCCACCTCTGCAATAACAAACGCATTTCCTACACGACCGAAAACAAACACGATTGTAATTACATATACACGCAGCGCGCACCAAATCTGAAATTTCACATGCGAATTTTCCGTATGGAACGGACGCACGCTAATCGGAAGATTAGATCCATTGGAAATCGCATGAAATACCAAATTGATAGTGTCGTACGGCACTGAAAAAAAAACGCGATTTTCGGGTAAACATCGGTCGGCACCCTTTGCATCTGATAACGGTCATAAATTACGATAACGACGCGTCGCGCTGATAACAATCGAATCGATTCTGGGCTTTTTACATAATTTTATTGATGTTTACTTAGATTTCACGCGCAACCAGCATCTCCTCCGGAAGTCACTTCTGGTTACAGCAAAGTTGACATACAAGAAGAAAAGCTACCTATTTCATTTACTTAAGCACGTGTTTAATGTCGAACGTCAAACAGCTCTGGTGAAATCGAATATTTAGATTTGCCGTTTTCATTAACTCTCGACAGATTTTTACCTTATTTTAATACAAAATAATTTTTAAATTAAACAAATTGACGTCATTATATAACGTTATAATATGAAAAAAGCAATGTGCCTGTGAATAAGTACTACCTACTTGACAAATTACTTAAAATACTATACACGAAGTATTTAAAATAACTAAAAGTAATTAAATTTTAACTACAGAAAAAAAAACACGAGAGACGACTATCTAAGATTAATATCCTTTCTATTTCTTAAGAGAAAAAATGGAAAATATTTCAACCCTCAAGTATAAAAACTTCCATTGTCTGGCTCCCAAGTTCAGGTAAAAAAACGCGGTTGCCATGGCAGTTATAGATTTATGACAGTTATAAAGTCAATACGGTAGGGTATTATATTCAGTAAAGTTAAAGCTTTATAATTAGTGTTGTAAAACTGCAATTCACGCGTTAACAAACCAACTGAATTACAGACATACAGAATTTCTATCGATGTACTTCAAATAATATAAATAACACTCGGTTAAAACAAACTTTATTTGATCGTTAGATAGATTGTGAAAGTTAAGCAACCTGTAGAACGGATTCAAATTTAAATGAATGATACTGGGAACTTAATAATACTTATTTAAAGCTAATCGAAAAAAATGAATTCTCATTTTCAAGAAATTATAGAATAAAATGATAAATGTGAGTAACTAAATACGTAAATTAGTAAATAGTTTGAGAAATGTATGATGGAAATAAAATAATTACATTATCACGTCATTTTATACACTCTTAACAATTTAAAGTATATAAAGATTCTCAAATATGTACTATTTGCGATATGTGTCTGTAAGTAACGCGTAGGGAATAGTAGGCGTAAAGCAGTTGCTATGGAAATTTAAATACCATTGGTGGGTTGATGAAGACAATTGCTTTTGTGTAAACAAAACTTGTTAGTATTGACCTTTTTTTGATTACAATGTTGGACTTGATTTATTGGCCTGTAAATTGCGTAATAACACGTAGCGCCATAAGATATCAAAGTTCTCCGCATTGTTTTTTTTTTTATATTCTCGAAGGAAAAAAAAACTTATGTTGTATATAATGTAGTATCGGAGACTTCGGTAATTTATTTGACCCTTAATGGTCTTGGCTTCGGAATGCCGGACACTCCTCCTTCGCTCGAAACGAAGATGGGAAACCGAAGAGCGGATAACGAGGATGGAAGATGCACCTCGTGACAGGTCGGGTTTGATTTAGTGCGAGGGTCTCGACGGCGGCGGCGGCCGAGGATGAATAAAATAATTTACGCGGCGCGCATTTTATTTACACGGCAATCACCTGGCGAAATAAATTACGTTCCTAATTGGAACCCGAGAGAAGAGGTGACTTACCAGGCGTTGGCGGCCATTCCAAAGTAGTAGATAAGCAGGAAGACGAAGGCGCAGTTGGCGTTGGCGAGGCCGTCCTGGGAGACGTCACCCTCCGAGGACTGGCAGGATACGTTCGACCGTCCAGCTATCGTCCTCACCGTCCATCCGCCGCTCACGAAGCAGTAGCAAAGGGCGAGGAAGACGAGGGGGCGAGCACGCGCTCTTCCGCCCCCGATGCACAACGTCAAAGCTGCTGTCACGCTGGACACCAGACAGATCAGAGCCCAAACTGTCACCCACACCTGCAAATAACATAAGCCAACTTATTCAAATGGTACTGCATCAAACATATGATGTTGATGTTAACCTTAGCAACTACCTCTGAGGAGTTTTAATCAAAATTAATCATAAACCATCGCCACTAAAGCGATGTATATGGTAATTTAGCAATTTCCATAAGCGTTATTTTGTCATTATCTTTTTAATATGGAAATTACTTAATCGGCCCATTATTTCACACATAATTAGCGATAAGCATAAACACATCGGGATACTCGCTGTTATCTCCTTTAATGGTTTGTCAACTGCGATGAATAACCGTTAGTTAATAATCATAAACTGTGAATTCTCGCGAATTTTAAGATTCATACGAGCACAATTATTTTCTGATGTACTAAAATTACTTTATCCGTAAATCGATCTTCTAAAAGGAACTAATTAATTTTTAATTTTTAAAGAAGAAAGTTACTTAAAAAATGTAGGCAAAAAATCCAATAAACTTGTATCAACAGACACATTATAACAATCACAAAATATTTAGTTTCATTATTATATTTAACTTAAGAAAACAAGTATTAGAAACACATGAAATAAGTAACAATCAGGACTATTCTATTCAATCATTGCATGAATGACTAAACATATCTAAAACTGATACTTCTTGCTACTGGATGGTTTTTGTTCAAGTATAAAAACAATTGATCAAAGAAATTTAATCTGCGAAGATAGATTTAACAAAAGAAACCTTCAAAGTATTACTAAACAAATCTTATTCTTTGTATCTAACAATCGACTTACTGTGTTATAAGTTATAATAATTTGTACTGAATAATCCATATTCTAAAAATATAAATTGCTTATAATAATATTATTTAATCAGAAATTATCTCTGAAGAAAGTAAATTAAAGTATTTTTTGTACTTTTAACAAAAATATATCACTTAAATTATCTTCTATTATGAGTTGACATTAAAATATTATAAATTTTATAGCATTTACATATATTTTCTCAATTATTTACAAAATATATTTTGCATAAGAATAAATTATAATTTTATTTTGAAGTTTTAGAAATCACGGTTTAGCTGTCTTCTATAAGCATATATTCTTGTGATTCGGTGTGTGTGAGTGTCTTTATATATATATATAGTTTATTTATGATCGTGAAGCTAGTTTTAAATTGTGTATGTAACTCTTATAATCTTGGTTTTGTTGAGAAGCGAGTTATATTTATAATCTGTAATTTATGTGATGGAAATAGCTATTGCATTGAAGTTAAAAGTATTGTAACTGGTTTTAGTGTTTACCTCGGCGAACTTCTTTTCGGCGGCATCGAAGAGGTAGTCCGTATCGCAGATGGGCACACACTGGCCCGACTCTATTTTGACGTGGTGCTGAGGGCAGTCCATGAGCTCAGGGATAGCATTGATCATGGGTTGATCGTTGCTCTTGGAGGCGCTAGAGAGGACCATGTCTCTGGGTCCCTCCATGCACATATGGACATGGTTGTTCTCTTCAGGGAAATGCGAGCAGTTGAGGGCGTCCGGCCAAGGGAAGCCGAAGCCATGCAGCACCGGGTAGCACCTGGAGCGGACACTCTCGCAGAGCCCGCGACACGGTCCAATAGGTTTGGCCACCTTCTCCGTACACATCGGAACGTAAACAGAGCAGAGGAAGAGCTTCAGATGAGAGCTACATCCGTACTGGATGAGAGGAGTAAACGTAGTCAGATAGTATTCTGCTTCCTGCTGAAGCTCGTTTCCACCGAGGTTTGGCATTCCCGTCATGTTGTAGCCTAGACCTCGGCACATATTTATCCGTATTGGTTCGCAGGTCCTCAGGGTTGTCGCCTCTACGCAGAGGGTGGACACCAGCAGCAGGAGAGCAGCGACGGTCCGAAAAACGCGCGGAAACCGAAGATGTTGTTGATGATCCATGTTGAAGGTGCGAGCGCGTTTTCAAAACAAGAGCCTTCAGCAGCTGCAGCGGTCGCTCTTCGATGACGGCCGAGCTCGAACTAAAACTGGAACCGAAACTTGCGAAGGGTACTACAACTACCTAACTCGACTGCACTGTGTGGAACTGGCTGAGCCAGGACCGAGGCCCCCTTCCGATCCTCGCGCGCACCAAAGTTAAGCATCTACTTAACGATGGAATGTTGTCGACTCGGCGCGGATCCGAACTCCGGCGAGTATTGTAATGAGCTTAACTCGACAGAAACAGAGACGGAGATGCATAAGAAATAAGGAGAAAGAAGGAAAGATATAAAAATACACGGAGAGAGTGAACAAGGCAGGCCCTAAAAAAGGACAACTAGAATTCCATCGTTCGCTAGTTCTCTCCTTCTCTCTTTCTTCGCCATGGTCTTGTTTTCGGGATGCTGCGGATGCTACACGTGTTTTTCGAAGGTTTTTTTCAATCTTCAATCTTCCTTCGGCCGTATTTGCGCATTAACACACTCCGGCGCTCCGTAAATATTTGTACATGATTATAACACCACCCCCTCGACTTCTTCGCCTCAGACGTTCCTCTTCTTCGTATTTGCATATCTATCCTCATTATTAATCACCCAATATTTAACTACTAATTTACATCAACATTAACTTTAGCTTCCACGAAATTCCTTTGCTACCATTATTCAAAGACTTCGCTAATTACTGCTAACATTTTTTTCTAAACAAATTTCATTTACAGTTACAAACTGAAACAACAGACACATTTTTTTTTGTATTGCTTGGGTAATATTGAAATAACCTCTATTTTTTAATGTCAGCCGAAATATCATTTATTATTCAGAAATTTGAATAGGAATCACTGCATTATTTTGATGCCTACAACAGAATTCCAAAAGTGGGAATAGCTTTTTCCAGCAACATACATAAATTCATATTAAAGGTATTTGGACGTTTGGAATGGAAGAAAATATCAGTAACATATTTTCTTTTGACAGTTATGAATAATCTTATAAAGTATATTTTCAGTTGTTCGTGATTGTATATGGTAAATCTTCTATATAAATATCTACCAAAATATCTTATTTTGAAATATGAAAAACCTTTTAGGTTTAATTTAATTTGTGTAAAAGGTAAGGAGTTTTGTACTGCTTTTCAAAGTACTTCTTCGTATTGTTTTTGTACTTCCTTAATATTAAAATTAAACTTTTCACATCGCGACGTTGATGTTTTGCGTGCGTTGGAACTTATTCTTCATTATTTTCATAACGTAATTTTTTTAAATTACGCAACAAATAGAGAGTCTTCATACCACTATTTTTAAAAATAAACTAAAAATTAACAACACTGTTGCTAATGTATACTATGATTTGACAATTTTCAGTGAAAAAATCCATGAAATTAACTATCTTTAAATGTATAATCTGCATTTTCATAAGTTAGATTGAGTAAATCATGTTAATATTTATATGTTTTAAACAAACTTATGATTAACTCTATTTTACTATTAAGTCTCTTTATATAACCTTCTTCTGTGATTTTAGGAAAATGACGACAGATAACATCAATTTTCAGGTAGAAAATATATTAAACTTTCGAAGCAAGTCTCATAAATATAAAAATACATAAATATTGAATAATGTAAAAACATATTAATCTATTTAGATCGATAAATAATTTGTTTTGTAAATATTTGTTTTATAGCATCACTTCATCTGTTTGAATCGCTTACTAAATTCTAGTATTAATAATCTATGTATTTGCATATTTATTATACTTATTAATTACCTAATATTTAAACACTAATTTACATCAATTAATTTTAGTTTTCGTTTTTATTCAAATTTATTGCTAATAGTTAGAATAAATAATAATAGTTTAAAAATCTTATAATTAATTGAAGTCATAAATAAAGATCCATTTATAGAATAAATTATAAAATACTTTTTGAAATTTTCTTTGTCAGAATTGTATAGTTTTCAAATGATTTCGACAAAATTCTTATAATAGGCGGAAAACCCCAGATCTATATGCCTGTTGGCCAAATATATTATTTGTTTTCTTTATTCTGGTCAATAAATATTTAATAATACTTGATATTACATGAATCGTAGACAAATAATAGTATTGTGGTACAACTTTCAAGAACTTTTTGAATTCAAATACCATTTTTTCCTTTAGAATGATATAGTCTCAAGCACTTAGCGAGATGCACGATTTCGAATATTACGTTTCGCCGTGACTACCTCTTATTGGAATTTTTATAATAGTTCATGTAATAGTTCTCAAATTCAAACAAAAAAACATTTGTATCAATAAATTCATGTAATAGTGCATACAGTTAATTAAGTACATTACTTTTGTTTAAGGAAGTAAACAAAATAAATGATATATAGTGTTATTATTTTAATTGACATATGACAATTCAAAAGCTTATTGTGACATTTATGAATGAAAATAAAAGTTTAATTCAGTTTATGTCAAGTTTTTTTTGGGTGACAGAGTTTAACACGTTAAGGACGGCGCATAATCGGTTTGTCTGTTGCAAAACGTCAAATATCTTACGTCAATTACAAACTTAAACGCTAATACTTCAGTGGAGTGCATGGCGGGTAAACTATTATATATAATGCATGGCCCACCGGTGGGTCATGCTGTCATCAACGTGTTAAATAAGCTTAACACGTTAAGGACGACGCAAATCGGTTTGCCTGCTGCGAATTCTTTTTTCGTGGACGCCTATGGACTGAGTGAAAAGCAAAATATATTGCGTCAATTACAAACTTAAACTTTTCTTATACATTTTTTAATAATTTATAACAATTATTCTAAATTGCTTCAAGAATTATTAAAATATGCCAAGACGAACATCGCAATGGTCGAACAAATGAGGTGACCATGCCAGAAATGGTGAAGAAAATCCACAAAATAGTATTAGATGATCGTCGACTGAAATCGAGCGAGTTGGCAGACATGGTATGCATTTCAAAAAGTGCTGTACATCGCATATTGTCTGGAAAATTTGGAGATGAGGAAGCTGTGCAAGATGGGTGCCACATTTGGTCGCAATCAAGATAATAGACCAGTTCACATATCAGTTTTCGCGATGGCCAAAATCAATGAGTTAAAGTTCAAATTGATTCCTCACGCACCCTAGTCGCCAGATTTAGGCCTTTTTGATTATTTTCTATTTCCAAACTTAAAAAAATGGATCGATGGTAAAAGATTTATCAACAATGAAGAGGTAGAGTCTGCGGTTGCTGGCTATTTTATAGAGCTCGACGATTCTCACTATAAACAAGGTATTGAAGCTATTGAACATCGCTGAAAAAAGTGTATCGAGCTAAAACAAGACTATGTTGAGATAAAAAGCTATTTTTGCGTGTTTTCCTTGTTAGGTCAGGTACTTCTGGGACTACTCTCGTAATAACATCCAAATTCTGATATTTTTATGTCAAAGCAATTTGATAACTATATTCGGAGATCAATCGATTTCTCTATTTGTTTTTATTTGTTGTCTCTGCCAACACTTGAGGTATTTAAATTCTGACAATAATCTCTACAAAAGTTACCAAGTATTTTTTACAAATCATAAGTTTTCTTTTTCTGCTGAATGAAATCACTAATTTAACTTGTGGACTGTTCATTTGCAAACCTCCGCCAAAATCTATTTTTTTATTGACTATAGTTCTGATGACGGAGGTTCAATATCCTGGAATATTTGTGTAAAATCAAATAGGTTTCTTGCCAACGGATAACAAATCAAATGTGTATAGATTGAGCGTGCCAGATTTGAATTTCGTTTGGTGAGTTGCGATTATAAATAGCCTCCGTGTCCAGAAACTCTAAACATTAAACAAAGTGCGACGGCGCGAACATTGAACACAGCCGCCGCCGCCGCCGGTTCCTCCGCCTCCGCTTTCTTCTGTTTAGACATTGAATGCAACAAACAAGACGTCCAACCGGGTCGGGGTTTCCGAAGACGACGCGTAAATCCGTTCGCCGTAATTGTTTTCGAGTTGGTCGGAAACTTCTTGTAACCAGCATCGCGCCCACCGGGTCCACCATAAATCTCTGGCGAAGGAGAGAACAGCCTTAGTTAGTCGGGCGCGTCATTAAATCAAACGATGGCTCTCCAAGGTGGAGGCCGCCGCACCGACCGACCTATCTCGCTCACTCTCTCACTCTTTAACACGAGCCAACCTATCCATCTCTTCTTCATCGGATGGTGTCTGCACGAATGCTGGTGGTAGCGAGAGAGCGTAGATGCGTCCGACTCGATAAGGGATTAAGAAATGCTCGGGATTAATTACACACTATTACAAGATAACTGTTTGCTCGAAAACAAACTAGCTGCTCGGCCGACCGATCCACAGATTACATTTCCAATTGTAACCGCAAGAAATTGCTGCACCGAGATTGACTTTCTTACAAAGGTTTCGAAATTCAATAAATTCATACAAAGATGCATCCATACAATACATAATATAATTCAATAATCATCAGTTTTTTCGATCTAATACGAAAAATAATTCACAAATCTAGTGAAATACATCTATTTAAATTGGTACGCATCTAAACATCATACAGGTAAATTGAATCATATGGTAAATAGGTGAAGTGGTAAATATAACTGATAATCATGTTGAAGAATTAAATAATAAATATTCACTATTTATTAGTCCATGGTAAATGTAATTTTTAGGAGGATTTAATTATAATTAACAATCAACATCTTGATAGTCTTCTCCAGTGGCGACTAATGACATATGATATTTTAATATTTTGTATGTCAATTTTTATCAACTATTTCATGAATTATTAAGTTGGTTTTACAAGTATAGGTGGACACTGGCCGCAAAGATTCATTTTGCTTCGGAAAATCGTATTCATTTTACTATTTATTTCTTCAGTTGATAAGATTCTGGTCTCCTGTCAAAGTACCAATATGAAATATTAGTTATTGATAAAACACAAATTAATTACAGAGAATATTGTTGAATTAAGAATTTATAAAGCATAGAAATTACAAGTTTAAAACGTAATCACACGTAATAATACATATACAGTAAATCCTGTTTTGTGCGGTAAGTAGAGACCTCATGAAATAAATTGCAAAAAAAAAATATTCGACATTTTCATAAATTCTTACACAAATAACA